TGCCCTACACCCATCCTTCACAACTTGTAACCACATGGTGCCACTTAGGCACCATTTGCTTACTTTGCCTTTTGCCCACAGGCTAGAATATCTAAAGCAAATGTAGCCCCACTGCTTCTGAATTTAACCACCATCTTGATCTAAGGGGCTGGAGCAAGTTTTCAGTAAGCAGCACAGCAGTCCCTATTTGGAGTCTGGCCACAAGGCACGTGTCTCACTGGTCAGATCACTGACAGGACACCCACTGTGCAGCGGGCATTTTTGACAAACAGAATGAGGACAGCTCTTCACCTGAAGGAGCCTGTGCTTTGGAGAGACAGACAAGTGGCAAGAGTGGTGGAATTTACAGGGTAACATCTTCATGACAGGAGCTAACAGATCTTAAAAATTTTCATTAAGGGGCTAAATCAGAGACGCTAAGCTTTTGTCACTCTGAGCTCATTTCATCATCCATCTGATGAAGTGACCTAGGGGTTGTGAAAGCTTACACTTCTACAAGCTAATATTGGGTTAAGAGAACTTGTAGAGCCCCCCTCCCATGCAAATACTCAGAGAAAATGGAATACAATTGTGAGCAGCATCTTCCAAGCCACCTTCTACGTTACCTTTTATTACAGTAGGTAGAACACCAACAGCCACTAGGCCATTGGCAGCCACTCACCATATGCCTCCTCAATGAGGCTGCAGTAGGGGTTGATGCCTGTGCCACTTTGCTTGGCTTCCTGCTCACCAAGCCGCAGGATATTTTCCAGACCATTCAAGGCCACTTGAACAATCTTGGAGTCCATGACAGTCAGCAGGTCACAGAGAGGTTTGATGCACCCCAAGTTTACTAGGTACCTGTACAGAAAGCACAGGGAAGATAAGCCTTCCATTTTGCCAGATGGGAAATGGACACCGTGATAAATTCAAGGGGTTTAGGAGAGACAAAGGCAGGTTAAAACAAAAAAGTTTCTGTAAAGTACCAGCTAACAGAACCTATCCATCCTCACCACTGGTTCTCAAACCCGGTGCTTAGATGTCTGTACTTAAAACAAAGTCAGGACTCCTATTTAGTTTGCTAGTACTTAATCCCCATTGAAGTCAGTGGGATCTGAAGATGCAGCTGAGCACCTCAAAACACAGCTTGCTATTTTAAAAGAGCAAGTTGGATCTGGCCTTGCCTAGCCTGTCCAAGTTGCCTGAACAGCAAAAAAAGGAAACTGTGAAGCCATGTTAGTCTGTATCACTTGTAGCATCAGCACACTAAACTGACGAATGCATTCATGACTAATTCCAGTGACACATGACCGGATTTAGTGACTTTACAATGTATGTTTAATGGCTTAGCCCAAGGGTGTCAAATTTACAGCCCAGGTATGTGTTATTCCAATAATTTTCAGATATCAAGCCCCCCACATCTATTTATTCTTGAATACCATTTTCCTACTGGTCTGTTTAGTAATGTAAAAGTGTTCTTAGCAGGCCTGCGTATAAAGAATCCATATTGCACAAGAAAAGAAATTAAAGCTAATGTAGGTGAACTTAGAGAAGCAATAACATTACAAGGGCTTCTCAAATCTCATTTAATACAATTTTCATATTTCATATGTTTGAAAGAATATTTTAAACCAAGGCAAATGCTTGATGCATTGCCGGGTGGAGGGCAGGGGAGGAGAGAAAAGGAAGTTTTTGGTGCTTCTTTGGGCTTTGCTTTGTATCAGAAGCAAGCTGCTAACATGGTTTCATGCAAATGATGCACATCCAATGCTTCCAAAATTAGAAGGCCTGTAAACCCACTCTTTGCATGGCACAAGATGTCTGAAACCAAAATATGGCTCAACAGATGTTATATACCTAAAGAAAAGTTACTCTGCACCACATACTCTTAACACACAGATGACCAGAAAATCTGCTGAACACCAGTTAGTGTTGAGGCTCTTGGTAGGTCTTTAAAATCCTATACAGTCTCTCAAACCCACACACCTACAAGCATCAGTTAAATCAGCTGGCGTTCAGAGGGAAGTTCCTCACAAAACATTCATTTTTAAATCTTCTAAAACAGGCCTCTGTTAGAAGTAACATACCCACACAATTCTTGACAGCGCTTATGTTCAGATATTAGCCATACAACTGTCAAAGCCAGCGGGGAGATGCAGATAAAGCTCTGCTCCACTTCAGAAGTGAGCCTCTTGGTCTCTCCTTCCACAAAATCCAGTTTTACGCAACTGCACCCTGTGGCAGTCTGATATTGGCACGCTCCTGAAATGTTCTATACTAATGCATCATTCCATGGTGAGCAGAAACCAAAACCAGCACCAGTAAGTTATCCCCTCTTGAATGGCTACAGCGTAGACATGCAGTCTTTGACAGGAGATACATTAAGTCTCAAGATGCATCCTGGAGCTTCTCTTCAGAGATCAAAGATAGATGGTACTGGGAGCCACAGCAAACGCTGATGGCAAAACAGTTCTCCACAACACCTATCGCTTCAGAGGCAGAGGACAGATGAGAGCAACTCCTCTACATACCTGATCTGTTCTGGTGTTCCTCCCGATGTTGCGTTCGTAATAGCCCATGCTGCCTCTTTCCTCGTACGGAACTCTGCTTTCTGTAAGATTTCTATCAGCACTGGGAATATGTTAGCATCTATGACTGCCTGAGGAGAGGAGCAGCAAGTAGTATTTAGATCTGGCAACACGGCACATAAAAGACAATCAAGCTGTGGAACACATACTTCTCCCCTTACCCACCCAACTCTGGTATCAATGGAAAGGATGCAAACACACTTTCTCTGCCACGTGTTATCAATTGTAAGACTTTCAATTGCATAGCAAGAATGGCAAGCAGAGCCCCTTATTATTGCATTAGCATCATGGAAGGACTTTGAGCCCTGTCTAGGTCTTTAGATTTAGGTCCTTAATTCTTTAAATCTAACAACATGTCCCCATTTAAAGGAGCACCCTAGGTATACACCAACTCTGGAAAGACAGAGAAGAGATGGATGCAATCCCCCTTCCCCTTATTCACTCAAGGATCAGATTCTCAGAGCTCATTTCCAAACCAGCCTGTCTTTGCAGGAACAGATTGTCTTGCTTAGATGTCTAGCAACATCTAGATTCAATCAAGTGTGCCAGTTATTTTAACTATACCTGGAATTAACTTCTCTGGAAAGGGGGAACTGGAGTATAAAGGCCTTTGAATACATATTAAAAAACCCAAACAGATAAGCTTATCTCAGTGCTATTTTCACAAAACTAAGCAGCATCACAGATCAGCCCAGAGAGGACTCCAGAAGCTGTACCTGTATTTGCGCCCTGTTTCCAGCTGTGATGTTAGAAATGGTCCAGCAAGCTTCTTTCCGGATTGACTCCTTGGGGCTGCTTAATAAATGAAGGAGGCAGGGCAGAGCTGAGCAGTTCAGGATCACCTGAAGAGAATTAAAAACAAAGGGCAAGACTACACCATTAAGTTCAACACTTAGTTATTGCTTTCCTGTGCTTCTTATACAGTCTGATACAAGGTTTAGAGACCTTCAGAGTCTTATAAAGAAACTTATTCTCTTGCCAGAGACCTGCCTGTGAATAAGATATTCCATTGTGTACCGCTAGGGGGAAAGAGTACTTTCCTATCCTTGAGGAGACATTCCAGGTCCAAAGGGGGAAGTGGCATTTGGGGGACAGGACACAGAGGGAGAAGCAAACCTTCTTCTGCCGCATCTTGCTCCTCAAAGAAGACCTAGACCTCCGCTTGGACACCAAAAGGATGAAGTTTCTGTGACTGGAGTCAAGACTTCCCCCTTGACAAAATACTGACTGCAACACATTACTATAGACTGCGAGCCATCACATTTATCAGTCTGATCTGGAAGCAGACAGGCATTTTATCATTGCAGCCTCAACCCGTGCCATTTATTACTATGTTAGAAGGCACTGCAGAGTAACACCTGTTTGAAACCCTTCATTTCACCACTGTTAGTAGGGCTAGTATACACTGAGGCTCTCCTACCTCTTCCCAAGCATAGGTTGCATCAACCCAGACTGTCCTTTTCCATTAAGACCATGCTAGCATTTGTCTGCAAGTCATCTGCTGACAAAGCCACGCTTGCTTTAAAGCAGTGTTTCTCAACTCATGGATCACGACCCAAAAACTGGGTCACCAGAATATATGAAAGGGTCATGATCAAAAGCTTTAAAAATGTATTCTCTTTTAAAAGAGAAAAACCATGGGAAACCGTGGCTTTTCCCTTGCAGGTTGGCAGAGTTGTAGCCTGCAAGGGGCTGCTTTGGGCCTCCCCTGCTCCACATACACCCCGCTTTGCCCCACACACCCATCCCCTGCCCCACACACTGGGGGGCTGGGGCCAGTGGGTCAGGAGTGAAGGGCACTGGGTTGGGATTGGCCAATGTTTACAAGTGGGTACAAAAAAGTTGAAAAAAAAAAAAAAAAATCGCTGCTTTAGAGAGACAGGGTGTTCCAAGCCAGACTGTTTCTCGACAGTGCTCTGATAATGGATTTATAGCAAGGATCTATCCCTCCTCAGTGGGGATGAGGATTTGGTACTTTCTAGCTCCTTTCCCCACTTGGACCTGAATACAAGTCAGTCATGCTCCTCACCTGGGTCTGGATGTCATCACCCGTCACAATGTTGCCTACAGCTCGCAAGGCTGGAGAAGCCACTTTATAGTCGTTGTGCCTATAGGAAGAAGAGCGAGAGGGTTAAACTCCAGTCATCTTCCATGCACTAAGAATCCCACCTCCTCCTCTGCTACCACACAAATAGCCACAAGCAGCAAAACACGTTCAAACCCCACAGACAGTCCTTGCTCACACAGGGAAGAGGACAGCTTTCTTTATCCATTACAAAGAAGCTCCAGCATAAATGGTTTCCTTTTCACCTGCAAGTCATTATTAAGTCTGCACCTTCTTGTACGCCCCTTCCTAATGCAGTGGTATTCAGTTAATGGTCCAATCAGAATACTTTGCTATTTGAATCCAAAACCCCTTTGAAAGTCTGCCTACTCTACAAAGCCTTCATTTTGCAACGTGCAGGCTTTGAACTGATCACCACAAACAGATCAGAAGTAGTGTACTGAATTACTAGTCAACCGTATGGAAAACCTTGCTTATTTTTTTGCTAGGTATTTTTGTCCTTATACTCCAATCTGTCCTTTACTTTATAAAAAAGTTCTGTAAACACGTTTTAAAAGCATTAAAAGAACACAGGCTCACTGCATTGCCTGGCACGAACCACGTCCTACATACTTATATGTATAAATCCTGGCCCTGAGTGCAAGGAAGAAGCTAGTGCATTACACTAGAAATATCCCCTGGACTGCATGAAACATTCTTCTACATAAGAAAGAACGCTGGCGTGTAGTCCCCAAATGGCAGATGCTCCCACACACCCTCGTCACTATATCATCCTGTTAGTGCTGTAGAAGTTTTACCTCCATAAACAAAAGGTATACAAAGATAAGCCAACATCCATGTTCACACAGGCAGTTCAGTTAGGTCTTTGCCCCAGATACTCACATTAACAGTTCCACCAGTCGTCGGCACACTCCAGAGTCTATTACTGCTTGGATCTTCTCATTGGGGCCATCTGATAAGTAGGAGAGCGCCCAGCATGCATCTGCCAGCAAGTCAGAGTCGCTGCTGAATAATAATCTGGACAACACCGGCAAGCAGGGAGACACCTATAAAGGAGTCACCATCCCCCCCCACCCCAAAGAAAAGAGTTAGAAAGGTTTCTGGACAAAAAGCCCCAAAGCTATGTGTGTAGATAAGACCCAGCTGTGCTGACTGGCACAGAGAGAGAACAGTGACCCTGAGGCCATTGCTTGGATTAATGCAAGAATCATATTGGGATTTTCACACAGTCAGAGTCCAGAAACAGTTCAGAACCATTTTGAAACCCAGACTGGTGATCAGTTATGGATGTAGGATCTTAGATATACTGCTCATTGGCCAGCTCAGACAAGTAGCCAGAGCTGCTGATGTTATAGTGCAACTTTGACTGTAGCTTTTCTGTGTGGTTCATGTAACTTTAGCCTCTTCAGCTACAAGGTATAACATATTTAAACACCAAGCCAAAATAAGGGGTCAGCTCATCCCAAAAGGTTAGAGGGTACAGCAGCAACTGGACAGAGTCCACATCCTGAAAAGCAGGTACCATTCTCATGTAAGCTGTCCCCATACCTTGTATCTACATAAGGGTGTACCTGGCCCCCCTCCCCCCCCCCCCCCCCCCCCCATACTTTTGCCCCAGCACTGCAAGTTAGCAGCACAGCACATGGTTTAATGTGCAAGGCATGCAGTTTGTGGTACTGCAAAGAGGTTTACAGTGCAGGCATGTATGGTTTGTGGTGCATCTGGATGTGGCCTTATAGGCTAACTAGATCAGATATGTATAGCATACGCTTTCGTAAGCAGAGGCCTTACTTCATCAGACACCACGAAGGGACTTCAGGAAGCAGAAATGTCCCTTCATGGCCTCTGATGAAGTACACCTTCTGCTTACAATAACCTATATGTCTCTGATCTAGTTAGTCTAACATATAACATGCAAATCTACCCTGCCTTCTGCCATTTTTTAAGATGACACTGACAACCAAAGGGAAGGGGCAGAGAGAAGATGACTTCCACAGTTCATAAGGAACTAAAGCTGTTCTGAAAGAAAGGCTTCCACTGGATAGGAATGGAATACTTCAGCATTTTGTTTTGTTCACATTTGGAACACAGTCCTACAAAAAGAGTCCTGTCTCCTGGTCAGTGCATAAGCTAAGCCCTGGAAGGCTGAGGGGATGGGGGTCCCCGACTCAGAGGTCTAGCAGGTGGACCTCCTGGAAAGAGACTAGGCAGGTCTCACAGGCAGGAAGGGTGAGATGGGACCCCGTCAATAAATGGAAGCATTGCTACCAGGTGTTTGCGTGTTGAAAAAAGTCAGAATGTCCTGGTTTGTCTTCAGACCTTTTCTGATCAGCTTTAATATTTAGACCTTGTTGCCTTGATGAACCAGGGCCCTTTTTCCCAACCACCTTTGTCTGCCAAGAAAAGTAAGGCTTCATTTCCTCACCTTGTCGAATTCAGGTGGTGGGTTCTTCCCTCTGCACAAGTTTGACAAGGCCCAGACAGCATTTCGAGTCATTGTCAACCTGGTGGACTTTGTGAGAAGCCTAGGAAGAGAATAATCATGCATTACACTGCCAAGCCATAGCTCGAAGTGCCTTTAAACAAACAGATGATTTGCAGTGAGGGAACAGAATGCAAATTCAAGAGGTCAGAAAAAAAAAGTTGCACTGCTTGAGAACCTGTTCTTCAGACTATGGTATTTCACCCAAACCATTCATTTTGAGCATAAAAAAAAAAGATGTAGTGCATCTACCCCCAAGACAGAAACAAATGCTGTTGTTTCACAGCGCAAAGCAACTCCAGACAGAAAGCAAGCACAGTCTTCAAACAAAATTGCAGATGGGAATGTTCAGGCTAGCAGAACACAGCTTCTCTGAGCCTGAATCTAGTCAGGTAAGTGCACCTATTCTGAGGGGGCCACTGATCTGGCCCTAAAGAGCCACCCGTATGATCAGAAACTTGCAAGGCAAGCCATATGACGAAAGGCTGAGGGACTTGGGCCTCTTCAGCCTAAAAAAAGAGAAGGCTGAGAGGGACTTGGTAGCAGCTTACCGCTACATTAGGGGAATACATCAAGGGCTCGGCAAACAACTGTTCACCAAACCACACTTGGGGAAAACCAGGAGTAATGGCTACAAACTCCTGGAAGACTGGTTCAGGCTTAACACTAGGAAGTACTTCTTCACAGTTAGTGCGTCTATACTGTGGAATAAATTCCTCCCAGAGGTGGTGCAATCACCCGCCCTGGAAATCTTCAAGAGAAGACTGGACGGTCACCTGACCCCAGCAGTCTTTTCGGCCTAGTGCAAGGGGGCTGGACCCAATGATCTTGTGAGGTCCCTTGCAATCTACGAATCTCCAGTGACCACAAGAAGCCTGGAACTCAATTTTATCTTCACCTGAGGACAACAGCTCTATGCCTCTATAAAACAATCCCTTGCAACACCTTCAAAGGCCACATAGCTGTACACCATTTATATCCAAATACTTCATGTGAACATCTCGTTAAATTGGCATTTCTGCCACAAATCTCTGTCCACATTGCTAGCATGAAAGACACTCTTGCTGACAGGATGGACAGACTGACAGTTTTTAGAAACTAAATAATCTTAAATATCTTAGAGGGTGGTCACCAGCCAGTTGCCCAGCCATAAGCAGCTTCATTCTCTGTGCTTTATGATTTATGGGCAGTGAGAATCTTTGTCATCCAGTCTGCAGACCTCTGCCAGAAAATGGGATGGTGCAATATTGTCCCTCCCAAACTACAACCAACTCCTTTTACCAGTCTTTCTACAATGTGGCCACCACCACAAACAAAAACCCTTTCCCTTGGTGTCTGGACAGCAGAGAGTTGTCTGCTTGGTCTTTGGCATCCTGAAGTCAAACACTAGTGTCAGAAGCGACTTAAAATTTTGTCCCCTACAATGTGCTCTTCTCTTATCTTGTTGCTACTACCTCATCAAGAGCAATTTAAAATGATCCTGACAAGAATAAAATATGACTAGTACTTGAAAGCACCCTGCCTAGAAATAGACAGACAACTCAGCTAGTGTACTGAGGCAGTGTCAGGATTTCTGATTTATATGGTGTGTGAAGACCTTCTCAACCCTAGACTGATTCTTTCAAGATTCATCCAATCAGTTCCTGAAAGCTGGTGTAACTGTATCCCTTCAGGAACTGTTCTCTGTACTTACAGCTCAGGCACTTCTAAGTGATAGGCCCCATAACTTCAGAAAGGCTGTCTGGCAAGCTGTGACAGTGCTCACGTACAGTTCACAGCAGGCATAACGATTTGTGAGAAGGCAAACCATCTGCCAAAGCTTTATCAGTTATGATTTAAGTACTACTACCTTTCTCTAATACCAATTTGCAAACTGAATTTTATTCCCAAAGAATATTAGCACACAGGTAGGTGGTTCTGGCCACCCAGTTTTCATAGCAGGATGTTACTCTGCTTTAGTAAAATGGACCTTCAAGAACTATGCTGCAAGTATTTATGGTTACTTACATTAACAAGGGAGGAAGAATAGCGCAGTTAAGAACATAATCTCTACACACAGAGCTGTCTCCAGCAATGTTCCCCAATGCCCAGACAGCCTGCAAGGAAAGAACAACAGTTTTACCATTCACAGTTTCTGAACAGAGGAAGAAGAGGGTATTGAGTTACAGGCATACTTTGCAACTCCAAGTAACCAGTACAGGAATTACTGCATGAAGCCAGTCACCAGAGAGCTACACTTATTTCAAACAAACTTTGATGCTCTCTATGCACAAGAGTTGTGCACCTTTCCCCCACCCCTTAAAAAAAAACCCCATTGTAAACAAGGTGAACTTTACCTGTTCTTGGACATCTTCAAAATCAGAGTTTAACAGCTCTATAAAGATAGGAACTGCCCCAGCTTCAATGACTATTTTTGTTTGTTGAGAGGTTCCTGATGCGATATTTGTCAACGCCCATGCTGCTTCAAACTGAAATGAGAGACCAGCAACAATACCATAAGCAGAACAATCCTGATATGGCACACCATTTGCTATTAGTTTTAGAGCCTTTACTGCTCCCATCTCATCTAGGAAGATTTATATAGGAATGATCTTGCCTCCAGCAGGGGGTTGGACTGTATGGACTCCCGAGGGCCCTTCCAACCTTACTTGTCCATGATTTATATGCACTGAAGCAAACAAATGGTTTAATGGGGCTAAACTCCCCTGCCCAGGCTGGTTAGTATGGACAGTGTTTGGATGACTGTTCACCAAGCATAACTATATATAATAGCTGTCAGATATAGGCAAGCTGTTGACAATGTTGAGGGTATAGAGAAGGGTGGACTGACTCACATCACAGACCCTGGCCACACCCACCCAAAGCAAAAGGAAGGTCAGTCCACAGATCACCAACAGTGAAAACACACTAGTGCACATCTTGTCATCTTTCCTGGGGATTACTGGTTCTCTTGGGCTTGACAGATCAGCGATTCACTCTCCTGTCAGTGGCAATCCTAGGAATTGTGAACTGGGCAATACCACATGACAAAGTCTGAGAGATCACTCTCCAATTCAAAGAGTCATCTCCAGCTGCTCAGAGCAGCCCCTGACCAGGGCTTGGAGGCACAAACTACAGTAGATGAGAGAAAGGGGTTTTCTCTTTGGAAGCCTAATGTTGTTACATCCTACTCCTGTGACTGGCATCAGAGAGGCATTTGTTGCCCTCACCACATGTGAGGCCAAACTGCATGTTACTGTTATCTGCCTTTCTTGAAGGGCTTTAACCAACTTCAAATCTTCTGGAAGACTGATCCCTAGGGTATAGGGCTTCCTGAAAGGAGGACGGTGATGGTAGCAATCAACTCTGACAGCCTGCTGTAGTCAAGAGAACATGCAATCCTCTCCAAAAAGCTACATGTGATCTGTAGTGTCTAAGCTCTAAGGACACCACCTTTCCAAGCTGGCTGTTAAGGGTTAAACATCAGAGCTCAGCAGAGGGAAATGCTATTTGTCCTTCAGAGTGCTCTCCTTTACCTGTAGAGTGCAATTTTCACTTCTCTTTAGGAATTCAACAAATCTGTCCACCACTCCTAAAGTGTTTATCACTTCATCTATTGGAGGATTCGGCTCTGCAAGTACACAACAGGGTCAAAAGGGTATTTTAGTAGAAAACAAGTGACCTCTTTCATTGCTAAATCCACTTTCACCATTTAAAGTTGTATTTGCATTGGACAAGAGAACTATCCAACAGAAAGCTTTCTGTACAGCCCATCCAGTTACAAGGCAATAGGGCATCTTCTACATGTTTAAAACCAAAGAGATGGCCACACAAGGAGATCATAGTCCCATCCCCTCCTTCCAGTGCTAACTGAAAAGCGACAGGATTGCAAGCCCGTTGCATTAGGTGGAACCCGTCCCTTAAAACAGCAATATTAATACCAAGAATAGCATCACAAATGTTTTAGACAATCTGCCTCAAACAGCTTACAATACAGCCAAGAGCAGCCGCTCAGCTTTTACCTTTTGAGAGCAATTTCCTGAATTTCTGAGTGGTTGCTAACTGTAGGTCAGAATCATCTGAGAAGAGCATTTCCACCATTTCTCTTGTGATCACTCCCTCCTACAGGCAGAGGGGAAGAAAAGCAGCGTCAGACAGAACCACCACTCCAAGCTTATTGTTACAAACCCCAGGAACATGATAACCTGTTGCCATGACTTGGAGCTTAATTTTTTTGAACCTAAAAAGGTAACTGAAGTCAGAACCAAACCATGTGTAAAAGTCTGTGTCTCAGACAGGGTTTTGAACTTCATCACAGCCCCAACTGCAATATTCTAAGTAATTACGCAGGGGTGGAAAGGCAGTCAAGAATACAAGATATGATGATCTCTCTTAGTTTGAAAGCCTTCAAGTTTGTCAGTTTTATGGGGTCTACAGTGTTAAGTCTACCTAGAAGAGGGACCAGAGTTCAGGAAGAAGTCTTACCCCTGATGTGGTAGAAGTGACATAAGAATCCATGAGGAGACTATCAAGCATGGCAGCATCTTCATTAATGAGTTCCACATTTCTTCTTTTAAAGAGCTGT